TGCTGTATTTAATTACAGACAAGCCCACAAACAAACAATCTCAGATTTTTAGTAGTATATATATGTATGTACATATGTGTGTTTTGTTTAATGTATATGTACATATGTCTTTTGTTTAATATATATGTATGTACATATGTGTGTTTTGTTTAATATATATATACATATGTGTTTTGTTTAATATGTATATATGTATGTACATATGTGTGTTTTGTTTAATATATATATACATATGTGTTTTGTTTAATATGTATATATGTATGTACATATGTGTGTTTTGTTTAATATATATACATATGTGTTTTGTTTAATATATATACATATGTGTTTTGTTTAATATATATATATATGTGTTTGTGTGTTTTTGTTTTGTTTTTTCATGTGGAGCTCTACATTTGAAAATTATACTGATGTTATGTTTAAAATGTGTTTCTCTTTTAGCGTTTCACTTTTGATTTCGAAACTGACAGAGTGACAGATCTTCGTAAAACAAAGGCGCGTTAGAAAGGTTTGGTTTTCTTCAAGGATAGTAAATGAATTTAAATCCTTCCAAAACAGATCAATAGATTAAAAAAAAATTAGTAAAACTTTACGTATTTCAATCCATATCATTTATTATAATTAACTGAAGAAGAACTTGATGGCACTAACTCTATCAAATTATGATCCATCTCAAACTTGATGGCACTAACAAGTGTCACTCTGAACTAGGCAGTTGCCGCCCATGAACATTGCTGATGTTCATAAATAAAATAAAAAAAACATAAACTTTAAAATCCTGAATGGCGCTTGTGAAACATCATTCATAGTGTATATATTTTTCACGATGTAATTTTATAATAGAATATCTATATTTGTCTTAGTCTTTAATATTGTTGCGTCAGCGAGATCACGGGACTATTCTCACGCCCTCTGCTTTCTAGAACTATCCTGTACCTTGGCGAATGCTCTAGGATTTACTAGATATAGGGTAGTGTGGTATATAAAAGAGGGTGACAACGTGACAAGACGCCTACGGAAAGGAGGTTTACTCCTTCAACCCAAGACACCGAACGATTATAAATACCTAAGCCAACCATGGTCCTCAAATCCTCCCGTCACCTGCCAACCCCCCAAAAGTAATGCCAGTCTCCATACGATATTTCTACGGAACGTGCACATATCCTTCACGCCCGAAGAAATACGCCAAGCCCTGCTTACCACAACCAATTCCAAGATCCACGCTGTCCATCGCATCCAGTCTAAGAAAACAGGCTTACCCTCAACTTTCATGAAAGTTGTTACTACATCCAAACAGACTGCAGATCTCATTCTCTCCGAAGGCTGCTTCCTCGACTATCATCACTTCAGGGCAGAAAAACCCTACCGAAAGCCTCACCCACCCCATACCTTTCCTAATCCAACCCCCATGCCTACATTTCTTAACTCCATGAAGTCAACCGCCGTCAACCAGATCCCTACCACCCGCCCCAGAACATCCGATCAAGCTACCCAAACTTCTCTGACTCCTAAAACACGTGAGATGTCCACACTAACCACCACTGCAAGGAGGAAAAAAGCCATCTAGACACAGCCACCAGTTACCTCTGACGCCTTTCAACAGACCACCAGCACGCATCCCAGCCCCAAGCCATTGTCTCCAACACCTTCAACGTCTAACTCATCGGATGCCCTAGTTATCGACACCTCCCCCGACTCCCACCCACCCGACGAACCTTTTCAGCCTTCCGATTTCTTGCCTCCGACACTGAGAATCCTACGCCTTTACCTCGAGCCCGGAGCCAGAAACTTAGCCTGTTCACTGCCACAATAAACTCCAGGAGACTGCACAACGATTACAAGAATTAATCACCCCCCAGCACTGGTTTTCACTTTGCCTTCCCCACTTATGACTTATGACTTACCTCTTCTCAATAATAGAGCACTGGTAACGGATCAGACGTTACCAGTGAAAGTGGGTTTTCCCGGGGCACTCCCGTTTCCCCCACATTAAATTCTCGGCATAGGATTTCTAAATCCCCGCCGCCCTGAAGGCCCATCTGTCCTATATCGGCCGTTTTATGTTGTGTTATGTTTTGTCGAGCCTTAAGGTACTCTGCTTCACTTTTTTAAATTTTTAATTTTCTTCTTTTGTTTACTTAATTACCCTTAGCCCATTCGGCTCAGTACTCCGCTGACCTCTAAACGTCATGTAACCTTTTACCACGAGCGGGGTGAAGGAGGATTGTTTAATCTTCGAGCACCCCAGATTAATAATTATTTCCTTCGGAAATAATTATTTTTAAATTTAAATAACTGCCAGCAAACCACCACCACAAGAATGTGTGTGTAGGTAATGAGTAATTGATCTGCAGTCAGAGAGAGACGTATTGTTGTTATAGCGTTTGTTTTAGAGCGATTGTTGAAATTAAGTGTATCGTAAAGTTATATTCGGAAAGAATAAACCAGTTTTATTAAGTAAGGACTTGTGTCGCTAAAGTTTCATCGGAACGAAGTTACGGAAAGTTAATTAACAAACGGAGACGTAACTGTATGTTTTCTACTCTTATCTTTGTTTTTCGTGTTATTCACGGCTAACTTTGTTTTAGTGTGTTTTCTCTACTTATGTACCGATTTACGTGCTCTCTATATGATTCGGTATGTTTCCTACAGGAAACTATCGTTTTATGTAATTTCCATAATTAGCTATCATTTGACCCATTTTCTCTCTTATTCTCTTTGTTTTCGAACACTATTTATATCAGCCATTCGGATTAACAAGAACTGTTATGGTGTGTACCAAACTATAACAAACCTGCGTATAACAATTATATATCACAAGACATTAGAAATATCTTTATAACATTTTTTTAACACTTTTTATGAAGTATATTAGAAGATGCTCTCAAATTCTGTGTTCTTCGTGTTTTTCACAGGTAACCCTAGTGGGACATCTTTTTTGTAACTTTAAGCACTTTAAGCCAAGTTAAGCGTTTTCCTTTACTGAAAATGTCCTTTTCTTTTTGTAAGATATTGAGTTGTTACAAGCTTGAAATATTCAGATTTTAATTTAGGAGCATTAATCCACATTAAGCGTTTTCCATGGAAGGTTATGTGCATGTCTTAACGTGATTTTATTGTTTTCTTTCCTCAAAATGTAAAGTTGCTTTTGTAAGGTATTGGGATGTTCCAACTTCTAATTGTGCCAAGTTTGCATATGAGAGTTTTGAAATGAACCACATTAAGCCAAGTTAAACATTTTTTCTCGGAATTATTTAAAGCGTGGCTGAACGGAATATTTTTCATTATTTTCTTTACTGGAAATGTTTAGTAAGCTATTTAGATGTGCCAACCTTGAATTGAGGAAAGTTTGTAAGCGAAAGTATTGTGAGGTCTCTGTTCGTTTGTTATTTTCACGTATAATTTCTTTCGGATGAAACTTTAGTGATACAAGTCCATTCTGAAATAAAACTAGTTTATTCTTTCTCAATACAACTTTGCAATACACTTAATTTCCACAGTCACTTTAACTTAAACACACGCTATAAATCACAACGATTCATGCACTTTAGTTACGGTCACTACCGAGCTTAACTCAATTGTCCGTCTCCATATCTGTCTATCTGCAAAAGAGAGGGCGCCTCGAAAAGACTAGAGTTGCCAGGAACAGTCATATCCTTCTAGAAACTCCAGTGGCATGCTTCCAGCGTCACGTGACTTCCGCTGTCGTAACATATGTATTTGTAAAAAACTGCAAAACAAAATGTGAAACCGAAAATTGGCATGGACTTAACAAACCTTCAAGCCAAATGTGGTGAATATCAATCTACAGTGGTCAAAGTAGTGGTAAAAAGTAACAACAAATAACGCCCATAAAACATCAAAATTGGGAGTTTGTATTGTTATAACAGCGGAAGTCACACAACGTTGGGAACGTGCGCGCTGTAGTTTCTCGAAGGATCATGAATTATCGGGAAAGACCGAGTTTGTTCAGGACGTCCTATTTTTTAGTGTATAAACCTGGCGAAAAAACCTGCTGGATTGGAGAGATAAATAATTGAGTCAAGCAAACAGTAGGCACCGTTAGTAAACTGTGTGAATCACTGTGATTTATAGCGTGTGTTATAAAGGTTGTTAAGTAAAGCGACGAGTAAACGTATTGACTGTAGAAATTCTGTGTATTACAAAGTTTGTATCCATGAAGAATAAACTGGATTAATCAAGAAAGGACTTGTATCGCTGAAGTTTCTCGGAAGAATTTATACCGGAAATTAACAAACAAGCAGATACGTAACAGTATGTATCTCTCAGTGGACTCAATGAATATCCATACCAAATTTGGTGAAGATCTATCAATAGGGGGCGAAGTAGTGGTAAAAAAACACCATAAAAACTGTAAAATGAAAAATTGAAAATTTGGATGTATCCCCCCCCCCCTAGTCCCGTATGGACCTAATGAACTTATATACCATTTTAGTGAAGATTCATCGACACCCTGCGAAGTAGTTACATGCACATACAACAGACAGTACTATTAATATTATATTTATATAGATACGTAAGTACTTTCAAAACATGTTTTGTTGGAATAAATGAATAAAGTTAGAAAAAGAAATCAAAATTTACTAAAAGTTATAGTGGTGTAGAATTTGGCACATATATCTGTCAAGTACAACTGTACTGTCGATAGAGAAAATACCTTGATTTGCTGCTGTTGGGTTTGAAAACTTTTAACGCTAGGAGATAACCAAAATCGCTAAATCAGCACCTTTTTAAATGCAGATAAATGTTTGGAACCATTGCACATTTTTTTTTTTTGCTGTGATCCTTGAAGCTTACTAATAATATGTTTCAATCACATAAAAGAAATGTTATTGTTTGTTTCCAAGGTCTTAGGGTTGCCTTAAATTCAAGGAAGAATATTCAATATAAAGAAAACGTATTAGGCATAACAGTTCGAACTTTGCGATCATCTGAGGTATGGCCTTCTACTGGTATTAATACTAGTAGTAATATTGTTAGTCGAACTGCTAGAAAAAACAAAAATGTGACTGGGTTTTTGTCAAAAGAGAATAACAAGTGTGATGGATTCAATGAACGTGAAGTAAAGGAAAATGTTAATTATATATTAGAAGAGATGAAGAATATGAGCAGAGCCTTTCATCTGCTATACGAAAACAAACACTTTGAGTTTGATAGAAAAGCTGTGCATAAAATTAAAAGAACCGAGGGTGAGAAGATACATATTTCTGATTCTGTATTGGCTGAATCACCAGTTTCATTATTAGGCGATGGTAGAAGATCTCGGATTCGTTACCAACGGTATAGATTAAAGATGTTGAGGAAAAAAATGCAGTGTAAAGAATCTATTGAAGACAATTTAGAGGAACAGATTGAAAATAACATCCCAGTAGTGGTAAAACTGATGATGAAAACTCCTCATTATTCAAAATATATGCTGGAAAAACATCCAGACCTTGCCGAAAGTCATGCCTGTGTTACTAAAGAGAGACAGAGGCATATGGAAAGTGAAGGAGAATGTATAATTCAGTATCCTTTTGCTCAAAGAAGTGAAACCTCTATAACACATGCCAGTGTTGTTAAGAATAAAGACCACTTTTTTGAAAGTAACTCTAATTCAACGTATCAAGAAAATTGTAAAGATTCAGAATTTAAAAATAGACATAATTCACATCTACTGAATAATCTGTACCAAAATGAAAATTATGAAAATCCTTCTGTTATTAAAGATACTCGTATTATCCGTGAAGAGATTTTGAAGAGTGACTATGGTACACCAGATCCATCTTTCCCAGTGAGCAAAGTACCATGTGGTGGTTGTGGTGCTTTACTGCATTGTAAAGATACTGGTATTCCTGGATATATACCTGCTGAGAAATTTAAAAAGTATTCAGAAATTCAACTGAGAGCTGAACTTTGTCAAAGATGCTTGTATCTTCAGCATTTCAATGTTGTACTGAATGTTTCTGTAAACCCAGATGAATATCCACGTCTTATGTCAGAAATAAAAAACAAATTTGCACTTGTGGTTTTGATAGTTGATTTAACTGATTTTCCATGTAGTATATGGCCAGGGATCATTGATATTCTTGGACCTAAAAGACCAATATTTGTTGTTGGAAATAAAGTAGACTTGCTACCTTGTGATGATGCTGGATACTTGGATAGAGTTAAGAGAGTTCTTCAAGAGACTCTGAAAAAGACTGGTGTTGATAGAGGAAAAAATATCAAGCATGTATGTCTCGTAAGTGCCAGAACAGGTTATGGCATTGAAGAGCTTATCACAAAACTGCAAAATGTATGGAGTTTTAAAGGTATGAATTTTGGTTAACATACAGACAACAAGGAATTATTACATTCTTTGAGACTGTTATTGCTCATCCATACCAGTGGAAAAATAAAAATTTTAAACCAATCCGCTATTTCTTAGGAATTCATTGATTTTCTTCTTAAACTATTGTCAGATGCAGGCCTCTAGAACTGTTATTGCTAACTCAGTCTGTAAACCATCCTTTTACAAAAATAAAACTGTCTTAACTGTAGTCTAGCCTGTCTTCACTAAATCTTAATTTATTTCCTCTTGGTTTCAGGATACTTACTCTTCTTTTTTGAAAAGAAAAGAAATCTTAACTTTTTCCAATAAGACAATCCTTTAAAGTCATCTTAGTAGTTCTTGTATGAACACTTGTATCAGTATAAAATAGGTTAAAGATTTTAATCTCTGTTCATAAGATAACCCTTATATCCCTGGACACTTCCTGGTAGCCCTTTACTGAAGCTTTTCCATGAATGAATATTTTTTCTAACATAAGAAGACCAAAACTAAATGGAATATTCCAAATGAGGCCTGATTAGTGAGTTGTATAGAAATAATTACCTCTTTTGACATGTAATTGACATGTCTGTAAGTACATAATGAAATTATATTAGCTTTATTACTAGCAGTTATAGCTGAGTGGTTAATTAATATAATTAATTAACTATAGACATAATTTACATTGATTATTGACATTTTAAAATAATCGATTAATGTCACAAAAATAGCCCAGTAGTTGGAGTTAGTGTTTCTGGTTATTTTAATGATCCAGGTATAGAAATATTGGTTTTATGATTTCTCATTGTCATTTTTGAATTAATTCAAGATTTTTCAGTTTAATTGGTTAGGGTCACGATTTGATAAAATAGTCATCTAATCAAAGTTAAGTGTTCCCAATTATTCCAACAATCCAATTAATGAAAATGATGCTATTATGATTTATTATTATTTTTCTTGATGAAATAGTTTGTTCATCTTTGGGCCTTGTTATTATGGTGGTTGTGGGTTTAATTCCTGTTGCTATTAATCATGCTCATTCTTTCAGCCATGGAAGCATGAAATTGAGTCCTAATGATTTCTGGTAATACAAAATTCACAGTATTGGTAGAATTAATACAGATAATCATGCCATTCATATTAAAGATAATTAACTTTTCACTGTAACATCTTTACTAGAGAATAGTTTAGTTAGTTTTAAAATAGTGCATTTGAGATTAAATTAATTTTTTTTTTCCACTCTGATGTGACACTATATGTTAACCCTTCCATTACGGGCTGGGTGGAATGAACTCAGCTCGTAACCACAAAATATCCATGAGAATAATTATTCTATGATTTTTTGATAATGTATGCACATCTTTACAAAATTTTGCAGGTTATTGGTAAACGATACACGGTTTTAGTACACAAAATATCAGGTTTTATATTAAGTGTTAAGATTTTTTAATTAAAGATTTTCTTATAAACTTTTTCTTTCAGTATGTTGACTATCCAACATGGAAAGCAGTTTTGATTTTGAAATTAAAAATACTTTAATGCATTAGAAAATTTTCAAATTTCACATGCAAAATCTTTATAATATCCAGATAATCATCACATTTGTTTGGGAAAAACTTTATATTCTATTTGTTATTTTCACCACTGTATTTCTGTATGGGTTGGTTCAATTTGACTGACTTCTTATCCTCAATAAAAAAATTACTACAGATTATAGCACCAAAACACAAATGTTTAGTCGAAATAGCTTAAATCTCATAACATTATACATTTATATATATATTTGTTATTTTCATTATATTGACCTTCTACCCATGCCTGGCTAACAATACAGAAGCTACAATGGTGCGGTGTACATGCATTCGTGTTACGGTATTCAATGATATGTAACTGACATTTAGTCTTTACAAAGTGATCTGTCTTCGCTGTGTTTTAATGGACTAGTATTTTGTAAAATACAGTCTCATTTCAGTTATAATACATATGTATATACATTATTTCTGTTTACAAATAAGTTCTTAAACTTATTTTTCTTAAAATATAGAGCAGTAAATAAAGAAGTAAAGCAAACAATTATCTCTTCTAGTTATGACCATTGTATTCTTTGTTGCTTGTCGGAGGATGCTAAGCCTTATGAAATTTCTGTCGTGAAGGATGTGAAAAGAAAATTTTTTTTAGGTTTTATGTATATATTTTAAATAACCAAAAAATCTTATATTACTACTAGCTGAGTTACCCGCCATTGCACAGTGAAAATTTAGATTTCAAATGTATAGATCAGTATTTTTTTCAGCAAATTATTCAGTAAGTAGACAAAAAGCTGTGATGCGAGAAATAAAAAAAGCATTTAATCAAACAAAGCTTTATTTGAAATTAGATAGTGTTTGAGCTTGTCTTGTTCTTTGAGCCTGAAGTCGTACATCATGTTGCTCTCTGTAAGTTATTTGTCTTAATTTTTGTGCTTGAAGTCTGGTTTGACGTTGTTCAGAAGTTTCTTGCTGTTTATATCCAGCTTGCCTTGATGATTCCGACTGAACTCTGGCTTTGTGCTGTTCAACAGTTTCTTGCTGTCTTTGAGTAGCCTGCCTTTCAGCTTGAGCTCGAAGTCTAACTTTACGTTGTTCCAAAGTCTCTTCCTGTATTTGAGCAGCCTGTCTTGCAGCTTTCTTCTTTTGTTTCAGCTGCTCTTTGTGCTTGCATTCTTTTAGCGGCAAAAGACTTTCCATAGCAAGGACGTTTCTTGGGTGGCTGTATCACTAAACAATAATTTGCAATTCACAAAGTTACTAAATCACTTATGAAACCACTTAGCACTATTTAAAGAAAATTGTTTTTGGAAATACTGAATTGACAGCAAGGTGATCTGAGTGTCTCCCGCCATAACGCTTTCTATGTGCAAAACATGCTTATGTTTGTATGTTTATTACAAAAAAATGGTGCAATAATCCTTATTTGTCAATTTCGTCATTAAATACTACACCAATTAGCACCATTAAATTTCTTGTAAAAACTGGTTATTATGAATTTATTTTAAAATTTGTAAGTTCAACCGTTTGGTTTCCTATAGCGAACAAATAAACAAACTTCCTCTTTTATATATATATATATATATATATATATATATATACTATAGTAATACCTACCTAATTAATTTAATTACTACGTACGTATAAGTTAAACTAACGTACGTAGTTAGTTTAGGTTTACGTTAAAACTAAATTATTAGTAATTTTAGTAGTAC